TAACAAACGGAGATGTAACAATAGTTTAAAGTATTGAAAATTATGTAACTGAAATCTTGTGTGTTACACATCCAAAGAATAGATCTAAAAAAATAGGTTTGAACAATGCTGAATATTCAAATAATATACTAAGTGAAAGTGGAATTATGTTGCAAAAAGCATAATAAAAACAACTGTACTAAAATTTAAATATTTTGTATAAGAATTTACTTAAACATATATGTTTAATGTTTTTTAGGAACTGGTTGCCTTATCTTTGAATGGCTACCTTCATTTGTGGGATGTTGGCACTTTCAGACAGGTAAATTTATTTATATATGTTATAGAAGAAACTGGTGATTGAAAAATGAACTGATATGTGTTTCAAGATAGTTCATTTCAAAGTTTCAGCTTTTTCTTGTGAATTGAAAGTAACCAATACTGTAACAGGCTTCTTTAAATGTTCCAAACATGTATTATAAAGCACTTAATTTTCTAAAAATTAGTAGCTTCCACCATTGAATACAGCAATAAATATAAACTTGATTAGGACTTGATTTCATAATTGAATAGAACGATAAATGTAATCTTGATTAGGACTTGATTTAAAACTTTTCTCGCTAGTACTACTCACTAGATACAATTTTTTTATACAAGTAAAGAAGAATAAATGTAATACTCTTTGCTAAAGAAACTAAGATGAAACATAGTTTCAAGACTCGTGAGACTGCATTTTTGATCAAAATAGGGAATGGAAAGTGAAATTATAATTTCCATTATATTTTATTACTAGTAATACTTGTTATTGATTGTTTTTTCAACTAGAAATAATAACTTAAAGTAGTAACTTACATGTTATTGATTAAATTACAGTTTTAAACTAAATTTCTTCATCAAAAACAGTGTTTAGATTCCTTTTTTTCACTGAAGATTGAAAAAACTTGGAAATTGTGAGTATCTTTCTTAAGAACTGACAAGATCTATAAAACAGTCACTTTGATATTTTCTTATTCCACCTTCTAATCTTTCATAATTTTATAGTTGTTTTCATTAATGCCTTCATTTCTGAAGAGAGGCTAATTGTATCACTCAATTGAGTATTATTTTAATGACAACTCTTTGTGGTGAAATAATAAACACCACTAAACTATGTATTTATTGACAAGGCATGCAAAAAAGTTAATCCAATCATTGCATCAAGAAAAGAGATGTGCATTAATAAGAAGTGGCATATGACTCCTCCTAAATTTTCTCTATACCCTTGTACAAATAATAGTGTTTTAAATACCTTGAATGGTACATACACATTATTTGCAGTATAGACATTCATAGGAAAACTCAGTGAAGTTGTTATTACAAAATTAGATCTAAACAGTTTACAAATGATAACTTTTTTAAATTTAAAGCTCAAAATATGCCCAAAATTATATTTATAATATCTGGAACCTAGCGATTCTTGAAGGTGCAAGTATTTGAAAATTTATCCTCAAAAGGGAATGTTGTTTTCCTATAATCAGTCACAATCTTGTGTTATGATAGCCATTAACTGCAAATTTGTTTTGTAGTCTTTGTGTTATATATATCTTTTAATTGATTTTCTTTTGACAGTATAGTGTTCATAGATGTTTTTGATGTATTTAGTCAGAACCTATTTCTCTAGTTTGCCAGTCATTTAACCTACCATTTTATTGGTCAGTAATGATTTGATAAATAAATATTGCACAATTTAATGTATTTGCTTAGAAGGAAATCAAATGTACACCAGATTTGTATACATTCAGTAATGGTTGAATATTTTTTGTCAAATATTGTGTTATTCTTTCATGATAAATTTGATTGACAGGCCTAAAAACTTGTGTAATTATGACTCTTACTATTATATTGACTTTTGAATCAGATTTTATTACATATTAGAATATAAATTTTTCATTTTATTTTCCCACTAACAGAAGTTGAACACCTTGTTGATTTTATTATTAAATTGTTTGTTTATACTAGAAAACTTCCAGAAAGCTAGGTTTCTGTCAAGAGAATGTTTGTTTAGCTCAACAACAAGAAAGAGGTATCTACGTTGTTGGTTCTCGGGCTCATACTTTAATATTTGACAATCGGACTTTGCGTCTTATAAAAAGCATCCCATCCAGTCAGGAACGAGTCAGCATTCGCTCTCTCAGCTTTCGTGGGGACCTTCTCACAATAGGGACAGGTATTGGAGAGATTCATTTTTATGACTTTCGAGCATCTGACTACCTGAAGCAGATGGATTCCAATCGTCAAGCATTTCTCAGTGCTTCAAAAAGCTGGGTGGTAAGGGCTTTCATGTATGACATACTTTAGCTGGTTTAGGTGTTCTTGAATCTTCTGTTTTGGTTTTGACTCAGTCAGGAAGCATATGTTATAATATCCTTATTTTTTA